TGAAGACAACTGGGTTGCCCGGCCCTGGCCACGAGGTGTCCCTTATTTATTTTTCAGGGAGTTGGCAACCCTAGCACAAAATCACGCTTTTATCAAGGCTTCCGTCGAGCAGTCTTTTGCAATGAAATTCGCCTCTGATCTATGGCAAGCCATTAAAATGCCGTTTAATTATTCCGAAAACAGAGTTTTTTCTGCCACTCAGATGGGGTGTTCAAGGCGCCAGTCTGTGGCGTAAAAAAATGGTGTTCTGTCGGGACAAACTGCGGGGTTTTTTGGCGTTTTGAATAATTAAACAGCGTTTTTTACGCCATTTCTTAACCAAACGGGTTAGAAAAGTGGCGATTTTTGGCTCTAATGGCTTGCCATACTGATCAGTCCTAGCGCTTTCTTCTGATTCTTCCATTTTTGAAGCCGTGTGCATCAGTGTAATCGGTATACCAGGAAATCATGCATTGACAAAAGTTCCCCATTGCTTGGAATGCAAAGTGTGATTAAATGCGTTGATCTTTTTATGCTTTTTTTTTTTTTTTCAAATTAATTAATCACAATTAACGTATTAAATTCCCACCCCTAATAATTATATAAATGAATCAGTTTGGCACCTGTCATTTAATAGTGATTTTATTCAATTGGAAATATGTAATTTTACTATGACATTTTATTAAGTGGGCAAATAGTGTTTCTTGTTTCTGACCTGTGTGTTATCAGTAATTTATACACTGATTATAATGAGAAAATGAAATAGACTACATACTCATGAGTGTTTTGTTACATTTTGCTGAACAAGTTTTACCTAGCCATTACAGTCTTGCAGCAGTAAACACATGTTTTCTATAAGTTTTAATTGAAAACTAAATTAGTAAATAAAAAATTAAATGTAATGTTTCTAAATACCATGAAACAGGCTTAGTAAGAGAAAATGAAAAAAAAAAACCCACCACTGGTTTTACAACAGCAGTAGTGAGTTGTGAGCAGCGTCTATGTGTGCTGCTCTGCTCAAATGAGTTATACATGGAAAGCCAAGACGTGCATATCAGTGTACCAGCCTGCTGTCTGAAGGCATCAGTGAAACTAGACAGCTGGAGCAACACTCAGGGTTCTCCCCTCATTATTGTGGAAATGGAAATGTGCGTGGGTGTGCAACATATAGCTGTGTCAAGCCCGGGGAATCCTGTCTGGGAGAGCAGTATGTCTTTGATTTCACCTGTGGATTAGGAGTTCCTGATGGGAATGTTATGACATTTTTCAGTTGTTGATGTGATTTTCTTTTATTACCTATGTGTGTGCGCTTGTGCGTGTGTTTGTGAAATAGATAGATAGATAGATAGATAGATAGATAGAGAGAGAGAGAGAGAGAGCAAACGAGCGAGAGACAGTAACAGAGAGACAGAATGACACAAGCTGAAGGGCACAGTGGTTGAGAATGTTCATCCTTAATCCCAACTTTCAACCAGCCAGCTCAAAGCCAGCTCTCCAGCCCATATGAACTTTAAAGCATGTTGACTCTTCTCATGAAGTCATAATGCACATATGTTTGCACACACACAGACACACACTAACAAGATAAGAAAGTAGTGACTGAAACAGAGTAATACATAATATATAGATTCCTTCAGGGTAGACGAGGACAACAGAATGAAACCAATGAAAGCACAGGTGTGGATTTTGGGTGGGACACAACAACTCTGACCTGTGAAGCAGTTATGGGCTGTGCTACCTAATTAGTCAGTCAGACGTTTATTCTGGTCAGCGGCTCTTTCTCCACAGTTCTTGGTATCTTCAAATGTAGTGCTGCACCAATGGTACTGCAGCCTGCTCCTCCTGGAAACTGATGTGGTTGCCTAGAAAACTTTCAAATGGTTATTAGAATGTTACAATGGTTACAACCCGCCATCCTTTAAAAGCAGTAAATTAATTTCCACATTGTCTTTACTAGAATTTTATTTTTCAGAAGAGCTGTCAAACACCAAATTGTGAACCAAAAAACCCAAAAGTGCTCTGTATCTGTCGGTCTCCCTTACTGGCTGCCTTTCTGATTGTGTGTTTAGCATCACTTTTTTGTAAGTAGAATAAATTTAAAGGTGAATAAATTATTATATGGATCAACAGATGAGTACTTTCATCCTGGGAGTTAGTAAGACTGAGTCAGATAAGCAGCATTGAATACACTGTAGTGTTTTTTCTGGGTTAGAGTACGGTGGTACTGAATATAGTCTGTGCCCTGCAGCTGCCCTGCTGGTCTTGTCAAAGCCTTTTTATAGTGGCAGTCTTCTCAGCACCACAGCACAAATGTTTTCTGGAGCTCTTTATCCTAGAGGGGTAGGATTACACATGCAAAGTCACGTGTGCGCACTTAAACACAATAACACACACATATAATCACTTTTCTATAAAAATACTTTTCTTGTATTTTATGGTAGGAGGAATGTGTTTATTGTTATGTTTTTTGCATGTGTTTTATGATCGTGTAAAACAGACTGAGCAGAAATGGCACACACTCTCAGGATGACATTAACTTTACTAATACACATGTCCAGCAATGACACACACACCAGCACGCGTGCCCCCTCCCTGGCCCTGTGAGTGTCACTCCGCTGTGTTTAGACACAGTATCGTTACAGCCTGTGCAGAGAGAAAAGCACACTGATGCTATAAGTGTGTCTGTGTGTGGTTGTTTGAAGTACTGCTTGCATGTTGCTGAGGAGACACTTCAGCTCTCAGACTGTCCAAGTCCTCACTGATGATCCCGTTTCATTTTGTCGTTTGTCTGTTTAAAAGTTTGTTCACCTTTCCTTCACTCTTTTGATTCTTCCATCTGTTGACTGGAACAGGACGAGGTCGACCAAGTATGACGGCCACCTTAAGTTCCTCCAGCGGCTTAGAGGTCCTCCTTTCCACTCTGCAGGTATGTGCTCCTGTATGTGACGTGTTGGTATAAAACACTGAAATAACAAATCAAAACAATTACTTAACTTCCATATTAGCTTTAATGTATGCTGAGCCCCTAATAGTCTGTTAGGGATATAAAAAAAAGGAGAAAAATAAAAGAAAAACTAAAATATGTTTTGCTTTGCCTCAGCTGATTTACTGAGAGGAATATCTGAGGTTTGCGTGTTTGGAATATTAACAAGATATGATTTTTGTACTTTGCGTGTGGTATATTTTGCAGGCTCGCATTGGGTAATTGCTGCATCAAACATGTATCAAATATACATCAAGCTCGATCCACATTCATATGCTGTATCATGTTCACATTATTTGGTTTGTGGTTGACACTGGATCCTTAAAAAGTTGAATGACGTAAAAAAAAATGTCAATAATATTGGACATAAACTTGGGTCCTGCATCAGCATTAAACTAGGATCTTTAAATAAAAGACAACTGCAACTGCAACACACTCATATGGAGAAGTGATGAAAACCTATCTATCTATCTATCTATCTATCTATCTATCTATCTATCTATCTATCTATCTATCTATCTATCTATCTATCAACGTGCTTGTTAAGGTATTGGTGAAAGGGACCGTGATGGTATGATACAAAACATCCCTGGGGTGCTACAGTTGGATACTGGGGGGTATAGGGGTGGAGAGATTGAAACAGCAGGTGGCATTACTGGCTGAACATCATTCTTTAAAAAGTGGCGGACTAACCTCACATTTTTAATGACAATGCATTCTGACTACTGAGTCTGGGCAGTTCTTTCAAACAGTGTTTCATACCCACAGTCCTGAATTTACAGTTCAGTCAGTCTAAACCTAATCCCAGCATCTGAGAATAAACAGATTTCCTGAGTGTGGATGGACTGCCAGAAACCATTCTAACTGCATTCTAACGGAGTTGCTGAATCGGACTTAATAATACAATTCAAAGTACAGTTTTTAGTGACTGATCTTTACTAAGTGTTCCTCTGAAGGAACCTCAAAAGCCACGAAAGGTGGTCATATAGGATATCTCCTCTACAGAGAAAGTTTCTTTTAGCACTCCCCTATTAGCACAAAACAAACGAGGAAAGGAATATATTGGCTTTGCATTGAGCATATTCATGCAGCTCTTATCGATTTTTTGTTACTGCTAAAGGACACAAAGACAGACAATCATTACATCATTTATTTAACAACTGTGAAAAATGAAGCGCACTACATGATTCAAAAGCTTGTAGAACAAGCTTCAGCAGCATTATCCAGAAGCTATCATTTTCTGTAGGACTTTATCAGTCTCTGTGATCACTGAGGAGGAATTTTGTTCCATTCTTCTTTACAGTGTTGCTTCGCTCATTCAGGCTTGCAAGCAGTCATTTATACGCAGCTCTCTGAAGGTCTCTCAACACAGCATTTCAGCCAGTTTCAGACAAAGTTTAGCTGTCTGACCGATGGCCTCTCCTTTGACTCTAGAATATTTTGGTACACAGAGGAGTTCATGTTAGACTCGGTCACTGCGCCGTTCTTGGGTCCTGTGGCTGTAAATCCAGCTGAAATCATCCCCCCTCCACCACCGTGCTGACAGCTGGTATGAGGTGTTTGTGCTGATATATCGTATTTGGTTTTCTCCAAACGTGGTGTTGTCCATGAACACCAAGCATCTCCAGTTTGGTTTGTCCAAAGGCATTGGCCTTCATACCTCAATTTGATTTTACTTTACAAATAGATTTAGAAGTCCATTTCACACTTACAACCAAATGAAGACCTAACTGTGCTGGGAAAGTAAAGACAAGTCTTTAAAATGACTACTACTATTACTACTACTACTAATAATAATAATATTAACAGTACCATAGCACTTAATTTACAAAGCACTTTTAAAAACAACAACCGGGCTGACCGAAGTGAGCAGTTTTCTAAAACATCATAGGCCACAAAATGTACAGAATTACACAAAAAAATACAAGGCATGTAAGGAAAACAAAGTGATAAAAGTAAAGACGTAGGCTTTATCCTTTTAATTTAAATATATTTAATTAATCTCACTCATCTTAACTTAAATGGTCTTATCTTTCTTTCTTTCTTTCTTTTAAAAAATTGCAGTAAGTTTCTCATCTCAGGCTAACAGGACACTTACTTGTTCTCTTTCTTTTAGGGGAAATGACATCGAGCTTTCCTTTTTTTTTTTTTATCAGGTGAAGCCTTTCTTTGTTATTTACTTAATTTTAAACGGTCATCACTCTCATAGAAACACTAAGAATGTTGTCCATTTTCTGGCTGAGTAGCTTTTCTACTCAGACTTTCTCCTTCTGTTTTGCCTTAGAGACGCACACTTCTCTCTTACATCGTCACCTCCAGATGAACCTGTTTCTTTGTATAGACAAATGGGGAGGGGTGGCTTTATGCAGATTATAGGCAGTATGTAGGATTTAAAATGACTGTGATTTATTAATATACGCACAGCAGTAAGAAAAAAACTGTGGCATAAATCTAACATGACTTTAATTGCAAACTCTTTTTTTGTAAGAAATTTCTCATGCATTTATCAGCAAATGAGGCCCATTGTTTCAGAAGTCTTGTGGTTTGTTCAGGTTTCAGCTTTGCAAACCTATGTTACCTTCCGCAACCCTTCCTAACCTCCTTGTTCAGGGTTAACATTTATCATTGCTAATTGAGGCCTGTAAAGTTTTTTGCAGGTTCTCTTAGTATTGCATGCGCTGACCTTTGGGTGAAAATTTGCTGGGATGTCCACCTTTGGGAAAATTGTCAGCTGTTTTGAATGTTTTCCAGTTGTGAATAATAATAATAGCACTGTGGACTTCAAGTTGTTTGCAAATGAGCTCATAAAGGTTCCCAGATTATTGGGAATATTTATATTTTTTGTTACTGCCTGTTAAAGCAGCTCTTGCGGAATCAAACCTGTAGACATGATTATTCAATTTTGTGTTAGGGCAGTTTCTAAAAACTGTCAGATGAGAATCACAGTCTGAGGAACAGACATATTTAATTACTGTCACAGAATTTCCTCCCTTCTAAACATGTGAAACTTCAGAAGGGTAGAAATATTTCATGGGTAGACAGTCTGAGATACTGGCTCATTCAGTTCTCTACATCAGTGTAATGGGTCAACTTTGCTGTGAGTGCTCTTTTTTCACTGAGAGGGTGAAAAAAAAATTAAAGCTCATTTAAAATTATGTATCTCAGTGTTAACTGAAAAGTCACACGTTTTCATATATGTCTGGACTATAAGACCTGAGCCAAGAAGCCACTGTCAGAAGCCTCATCATGGTTAGAATAGAACAGAATAATCCTTTAAATGTCCCAGAAGGGGAAATTTGGTTGTAACAGCAGCCAGAAAGAAAGGTTGAGTGCAGCACAAGCACCATTTTTATATGCAGGGTTTAAGTTACAAAAAAGTAAAGACAGTGCAAAAACAAAGCTCCCTCATCAAACATATGGCCTTTTTTTAAAATAGCTTTCAGGCTGTCACCCACTTCAGACTGGAACATGTGGTTGCAGTGAAAAGTGGCAAGTTGCTTCAACTGGTTAAGTTGACATAACCTGTCTATCCTATTTAAGATGTTATTACCTTTGTGTAGCAATCTTTGCTCAACACAAGCCTGTACTATTTTATTACTTTTCACACTGAATAGCTAGAACTAAAGACCAATGCAATTTGAGAAAATTCCAGTCGAGTGGCGTGTAAAGAAACGCAAATTTACGTATTTACCGACTACTACACAAGAAAAATCTCGAGTCTTTCTTGTATAGCCCAGTCTGTTCCACTGGAATACCAGATGAGATCAGTGAGTTTGCAGGAAAATAGATGAGCAGAAGCAGCAAGGCAAGATCAGACTCAAGATTATGAATTTTACAGGGTAATGTGGAGGATTAAACATGAGATGGCCTCCCACAAGACCTCAAAATATTTTTACCTTAAATTTGACCATGAGCTAAGGTTGTTCCAATGGTTCCTAGTCCCTAGGGAAAGATCCTGTTGCGGAAACAAGACTATAGTTTCTATTTGAACAGGCAGATTGCTGGCCATCTAAACAGCCTGTCTGGATGCAACACATTAAGTTATTTATATCTGGCATCAGATATTCATCAGAGGCCTCATTTGGACATTGGAGAAGGTTTCTTCATACAACGCACATTTTAACGAGGGAGATGTTTGGCCACCTTAAAAGATTTCTGTTGAAACGGCAGAATTTAATCAGCCAGATTGGGTAGTTGATAAGACCAGCAGACCTCTGCTTAGTCGGATCGTTTTGAAAATGTGGGATTAGAATCTCTGAGAAAATCCATCTGCATGTACATGTGGAGTACATGTGACATAAGAAACATGTATATAGTAAAGCGCTATACAAATACAGGCCATTTACCATTTATATAAACTAATATCCTAATGTCCATTAGTTTGGAAATATTGGACACATTTTATGTATATAAGGCCACGAGTCCGCCATGATTGGCTCCAGCTCCCCTGCAACCCTGATAAGGATAAGGGGAAGAGAGGTGTGTGTATAAAAGGTTTTTTTTAATATGGTGTCATCCACTGGAACTGTTTGTGCTCCATTACATGAAAGGAGCTGAATTTAACAGGAAGTAGGAAAAAATGGAAAAGCCTAAAAAATATTGCCAGTGTAATTAATATGAAGACATTTCACAGCCAGGATTTCAACAGGCTATAGAAACATTTCTTCACAGTCACATGTCAGGGTCAGTGCCACTTTCTGCCCTGTCTGCATATAAAGTCCTGGAGCAAGCTATGCTCACACTGTGTTCCAGGACGTGTCAATGCAGGATGCAGAATTTCCATGAAACACATCTACTACACTCACCGTGTTCCATCTGGTCATAATCAGCTGACTGTGCTCAACTTTGGGATTGCAGGCCTCAGTCCTGACAGCTGATGACATGAAGACAATTATAAGAGATTCACAAAACATGAGAATTTGCAAAACAAATTGCAATCATTCCACTTTCACATAAACACAAGCAAGAAAAATCAGCTTTGTTGAGTGATAAAATCATTCAATAAAAACAAGAATAACAATATGTAGTAACAGTCACTAAAAAAGTGCAAAAACCACAACCATTAGTAGCAGCTGGGTTGTTTGGATTGTATATGGATTCCACATTCTGATTTAGACACTGTGTATCATGCTTCTCTGAGGTTCATCACTAACTGTAAATTTCAGACACACCACAGTTATACTCTCAGGTGGGAGGGGCTGCTTTGGCCAGTCGGAGGAACTCTCATTTATACAGTTTTATATATAAGGCAATACTCAGATTGCTGCCTTTCTATACGTGTTCCCTGCTTGCAATGAAACATGCTGATCGTTATTCTCTTCGTCCGCAAGGTTACTTGTTGCTTTCTGTTCCATTTGCCTGAACTGAACTTGGCAAAAGAGCTTTTGTCCATTTAGCACCCTTTGCTTATAACGAGCTGCAGAACGACTGGAAAATGACTGAATTCATTTCATTAAGTGCTTTTGAATCTAAACTAAGAATCCTTGTGACCAATTCCATAACATGCAACTGTTTCAATAAGATTGTTTGTCATTTTAACTGAATTTTTGAATTTTTATTTAATTTTATCTTTATTTATTTATTTAATTAATTAATTAATTTTTCATTTATTTTTGAATGTCTGTTGTTGCTGCCTGTGTTTAATTGAGTAATTTTTGTAACTGTAAGACATTTGCTGCTGCCTATCTTAGCCAGGTCTCCGTTCAAAAAGAGGTTTTTAATCTCAATGGGATCTTCCTGGTTAAATAAAAAAAAAGTAGGTTAGATGCATTCTAACTTTTTTATTCTTTTATTTTGTGGGTTTAAATGTCTTATATTCTGTGTGTGTGTGTGTGTGTGTGTGTGTGTGTGTGTGTGTGTGTGTGTGTGTGTGTGTGGGTGTTGTCTCTGCAGAATGTAGGGGATGTGGAGAGCACCTTAAATATCCTCAGTGTCTTGGATGAACTTCTGTCAGCTGGTAAGATCATCTTCTCACCATTTGGTTTCCATCCTTACGTAAAAAGTTGTTGTGCTATGGAAAATGCCAATAAACACACAAAGCCTTTAAAGGCACAGTCTGTTTTTTTAATTAAATATACTAAAAACTAAGTTACTAAGAACTCATAACTGTACTTAAATTCATGTGTAATTACATCTTCCAACAAGCAAATGCAATCTTTTGAACTTAGAATTCATCCGTTCACTTTTTTCCTCCATAAAGATGACATTTGACGACCTCCCCTGTACCTTTAAGATGAGTTTTGACTCCTCATTATATATAAATCAATAAAAACATGACTTGATGATCATTAATAAAGTTTCCAGGGTTTTCCAAGGGTAGCTGCATAGTCAGAAACCTAGAAGCAGGTCTGAAATATGACAGAAACCCCTCAATTCAGAAAAGTTCTTCAAGCATTATTCCTACTAGCCTTTCAAGGAGTAAAGAGTTGAAAATGCACAGGAGCGGGCAATGGTTTGAAGTCATCGTGCTGCCTCATCATCCTGAATAAAATAGCCGGGATGAACGTCACTGTTCCAACTAATTGCGATTTATGTACGAGGCTAGAGACCAGCTACAAATATAGTATACCAAGGGGGAAAGGAGAGGAGAACTCGTAGGCATTTGTGCTGGAGAGGCAAATTTTAATATGTGTCTGCACCTTTATGTCACAGTGTGGCAGAAGCAGACTGTGTGGAATGACAAAACGGACCCAAAACACAGATTCACAAAGTTTTAGATGAGTAAAAAAACACAAACAACCAACATATTGACAGCTGAGGTAAATAGTGGAGCCGCAACCCACACTCAGAGTGACAGTCTATGCAGATAAATATCAGCCACAGTTGTTTGTCATACAGCGGCCACTGTAGCTAGGATCACACACTTTAATTGGGAGGTGGAAGAAAACAGAGCTCATTTCACTTCAGCTGGCATCTAGGGCTGGGTGTAGCATGTGCCAAATGAATGGGTGACAGTAATCCTATTTTTAGTAATGCAGTTATGTAATGCGTTACTGTACTTAATTCTGTAAATACATTAAAATTAATATTATGTTGTTACTTGCGTTACTTGTTTTTTCAGATATATGCACCAGGAAGGATAGGAAGAAAACAGCATACACATGTATGCTGGGAGGACAAAAAATATAGAGTGGTTTATAGCTTTTGAGAAGTGGCAATATGGACATTAATTTTATTTGTATTGCATGAAAGGACATAAGTGCAATGGTGAAATCCAAACAACATCCAAGACAGAAACAACTGCAGTATACTGCTAACAGAACTGTGGCTCTTAGACAGATTGCTAAGAAGGTAATCAACAACAAGTGATGTCAAAGCTGAATGTATTCAGACCCCAGCCCAGCAGCCAGAGGCTGAACTTCTGCAGGTAACAAAGGCAATGATGTGTCTATATATAGACATATAATAGGATCAAATGTGGAAACTGGTTACAGCTGAGTACATAGATAGAAAAACAAATAAAATAGGGGAATCGCAAAAAAGGTAAATAAATAAAAGAAGAAAAAAAAGAGATTTTATTATCAGATAAGTAATATTTTTCAGAATTAGAAGGTGAGGGCACTTGGAAGATATCTGTGGCTGTCACACCCCTCGCATTCTGAGGATGACTAAGGTTTAAGTCTTCATTTGGAGCAGTAATGTCCTTTGCAATAAATAGAAGTACTTGATGAATGCCCATTTGAATGCGGCTTGTAGCATCCTTTATATTTTTTCAAAATAGTAAAAAAAGGCACTATTTATATTTCAGTCCCTTTCAGCCAAGCACTAACCTCTGCTCTCTGTTCAGGTACAGATCGGCGCATCCACTATATGATCAAGAAAGGTGGTAGTGAGGCTCTGCTGACTGCACTGGTTAAATATGGCCACACTTTCAGTCCCAACTACACTATACTCATACCACTCCTGCACCTGCTAGCTAAAGTTGGACACAAAGGTGGGAATGAACAAAACAACATGAATTGTGATAACTCTTTCTAACTCTTAAAGTTTGTTTAGGAAAGGTAAGATTCACTGAAAGCCATGTTTGTGGTACAGTAATAATGAAAGCTTCTCACAGAGATATATCTGTGCTTATTTGTCTGACCAACAATTTAAATCATACTGAGGGTCATTGTATGTTACAATGTAGATGGTATGAAGGCATATTCATAACATACCTTCATACCGTGTACATTGTAATATACCCATAATAGACCCATTTTTGTACCTTCATACCTATAACATACCCATTTCTGTAATATATCTATATACCTATATTATTGCTAATATGTATTTTGTAATATATTTATATCATGGCTAAAGCACTTCTGGATGGATGCAAACTGCATTTCGTTGCCTTGTACTGTGACATGTGCAATGACAATAAAGTTGAATTCTATTCTATTCTAATTCTATGTTGCAATATTAAAAAAAAGCAAAAGGTCTATAATGGAAATACAAAGCAAACTGCTAATACATTTAGGTAGCACTTAGTTATTATTAGCAAGTGCTTAATTCATCATTTACATGTCATTACTAGTCCTTAATATGTCATTTAGAAATGCAGATATGTTTAGCCATCTGCTAATGTTACACCATGTCAAGCGATCACTGCTTGGTGTAACTATGTAGAGCTATTATTGCTACTACATCACTGCTAGTAATAATCACAATTACACTCATGGTAATATTCCAAAGATGGAAAAAATTCATATAACTTTAATATTTGAATGCTACTATTTTAAGTACTTTTTCATTGGGGTTGCTGTTATTTTTGGATTTTTTTGACTTCTTGCATTCTTAAAATTTTCATCACTTACTTTCACAATACTTACTGTCACCATGTGTATTCATTGCAATGTATATATATATATATATGTAGACCGTCGTATTGGTATGAAAGCAGAAGAGGCAGGTGCAGTGCTGCTGACTCTGAATCTGCTGAAACACAATGGCCAGCACGCCAGGAGAACTGCTGCCTGCCTCTGGGTGATCCAAGTCTTCTGTTCATCAGGTACACAATATAGTTGTTTTTGTCACCAGCTTGGAGTTAAATTCATATCCTGGAGGCTTACCCTAAAAATAATCATAGCTGCTATTTCTCTAAATTCTAATCCAAACTTTACCCTTATCCTAAACCCTACCTTATACATTGTCATCCAGAGTACTTTATTATTGAATTCTTCATTAACAAGTAAAGCCTCCACCTTAATTTTTAAGGGGAGAGTATTTCAGAAGCTTTACCTGTTGCTGTGTTTAAACTTATATGTTGATAAGCTTAGTAACAGAGTTAAAGTCAGTTGTGTTGTCTTGACAGTTTCTACAGCAAACCTCATAGGAGAAAACCATGGACTGGATGTCATCTACCGCCTCATTCCTCAATACACAACCAAGCATCTGCATGCTATTAAGTAAGTATCCTAAGGGCTTTCTGCATTTCCCACTGATCAGTTTTACCATATAGATACAGTCAGGGCCATAGGCTTTTGAACAATTTTTCATCCAGAATCCAATAATGTTTTTGACACAATTGTTTTTGTAATTTTGCTTTCTGCAGTACCGCAGTGGACTCTAAATTAAACAATCAAGGTGTGATTTAAGTGCAGACTTTCAGCATTAATTCAAGTGGTTTATAGAAATAGTTGATGAATTATAGCTAGCTGTTTATAATACCAGTTTTGGAAGCTAGGGATCGGAGTGCCAGGACCTCTCGATCCACTAACACTGAAGCCCTATGTCGACTCCTGCGGGTGGTGGGCCCACAGGCGGACGGACCCATGTTGCTTTTCTGGCCCGGCCACCAGATGCTCACCAGACATTCACTCGAGACACTACCCTGGGCCTGGTGCGCTGGACCCTTGAATTGTTCTGGATGAACATTTTTGCAGCACATGATTGACTGAAGTTCAGAATTCATGGACTCCCTTGGGACACTCAGCTAGACTTTAACTGTAGATGCTTTCAATTGCAGCTTGTTTGGGGATCTCTCTGACTACAGTACTGTCTTCAATACTGAAAAGCATGACTGAGATGAGGTTGCTGACATGGAAGAATATCCTATTTTTTTGCCTTGAGAAACCTTTGGGTGAGAACTGCGATAATAAATAAAGCCAATGACAACTATGATAGGCTATATTTGGATAAATAGTTCAAGTAATGGTTTTATTAAATCCTTTGAATTAAAGTCTGAACTTCAATACAATGTGATGGCATCAAGAACCAAACTTATAAAATTGTGTCACTGTCTACTGACCACTCATAGTTCTTTAAACTACAAGCCACATTTAACCATATATGAGAATATTTAACTGCCCCCCATTGATCCATCCATTTTCTTAATCGCCTGTCCAGTTAAGGGTTGCAGTGGGACCAGTAGCCTGTCCCAGCTCTCACTGGGTGACAGGCAGGGTGGTGGTCAGAGAAACTGAGATTTTGTTATAGTCCAGGTACAGTACACTGTCACGGAGAAGTGTTTTTAGGCTTTAAAGATATTATATCCCCCCTGCTTGTAATGCAACATCTGCATGCAGTAATACAACTTCTGCATGTGTGTCTATTTCCCGTTTTAAAGCAGCAAAGCATGAAATGGACATGGTGGACCGGGCCTGTCTATTACATGTTTTCCTGTTTCCTGTAATACTGGGTTGGAGATTCCTGCTGGACCCACGTACTCGGTTTAAAAATTCATGGGGATATGACTTTTTGGGCAAGGTTGTGGATTTTTCTTCCGCTGCCTTTACTCTGTAAACTCCACTGATTCATTTAAAAAAACAGCTGAAGGCATACTGACAACCTTTAGGTAAATTGTTGTTTTATGTATTTTTTTTTGTTCATTCTTATGATATATTTTATTTCTGGTTTTATTGTAAAGTATATTGTGATTTTTACCTGTAAAAAGTGTTTATAAATGCATTTTACTTACTTACTTGACCTCAGTGTAGCATTTGACACCACAGACCACAAAATGTTAACACAGTGATTACAAAATGTGTTAGCCATTAAAGTTACTGCCCTGCAGTGGTTTGAATCATAGCTCACTAATATAATTAACTCTAATTTGTTTGTGTAAATGGAGAGTCAAACACTAAGCACTGTTATAGAGTACCACAGGGTTCTGTAAATTATACATGCATAATACATCAGGCAGAATTGGTAGAAGCCATAACCTACAGTGCATTCTCATTGCTATGCAGATGATACCTAGCTTTATCGATCCATGAAGCCAGATGACATACACCGATTAGTTAAACTGCATGAATGTCTTAAAGACATACAGACCTGGATGAACTCTAATGCCTTGTTTCTAAATTCAGATTAAATTGACTTTCTTGTGCCATTTTACAAACACGATTCTTACTCTAGATGGCATTACCTTGACCTCCAGTAATACTTGGAGCCATTTTTGACTAGAATGTTCTTCAATGCGTATATTAAAACAACCACATCTGTGTTATTAGCACAGTTATATTTAATATCTTAGTTACCGGTATATCTAAGGCAGTATTCAGGGTCAACTAATCCAGCCCTAACTATATGCTTTATCAAAAAGAAAAGTTTTCGGGTTAATCTTAAAGAATAGAAAGTGTATTTTTCCCAGATCCAAACTCTACTTGGTTCCACAGGCTCAGTAAGCCAGCAGTTTGAGAGCAAAGTGCTCTATTGGGACAATATGGTACTCTGAAGTCTTTAAGAAAAGACAATTCAAGACCTTGTATGTAAGAAGAAAGATATTAAATTCAGTTCTGGAATTAACAGGTAGCTAAGACAAGGCAATACAGGAGAAAAATACTCACTTTCCAGTCCTTGTCAGTACTCTCACTGCAACATTTTCAATCAACTGAAGGCTTTTCAGGGAGCTTTAGGACATCCTGACAAAAATGAACTACAGTAGTCCAGACTGGAAGTAATAATGAAGATGAATCAATTTTTCAGCGTCACCCTGAGTCAAGATGTTTCTAATTTTAGAAGTCAAATAATTTCATGTTCACTCATACATAAAGATTTACTTTGACAATTACAAATGCAATTCGTTTTTTATTTTAATTTGGTGTTGATTCAAATGAGTCAGACGTCACTTTTCTGTTTTTTTCCTAGGGCAGCCATTAATGCCTTTTCTGCTCTGCTGTGCACAAGTAAGTTTTTTTATTACCTTGAGCATTCCTCAGCTGATGTTTCCATTTTCATCATCACCATCTTCATTACCATCATGTCACAACTGTTTCTCCGGGGACACATTGGCAATGCTTGATTTGTGAGGTCATTTTGTTTTCTTATGATTTTTGTGTCTAATTTCAAGGATCATAAAGATACCTTACACGGCATTTAGTGCAATGAAAATAGATTTAAATAGATATTGCATTTTTTTTATGTACTATAGAACTTAACAGGTGGGGATCTGGCTAATATAAACTACTGCTTTCACAAAATAAAAAATTAGGGCACTAACAAGAGCTGCATGCTTACTTGAGTTTAAGCTGGTTGACAAAAATTTAAGGCTTATACATTGGGGCAGTTTAGAACACAGCTCTCATATCTGTGGCTTCAAGGTGGAAGAGCCTAAGAGGAAGAGCTTTCCACATGATTCCAAGATAGTGTTTAAGTTATAACTACAGAAGGAATAAGCTAATGCATGATACTGTGCACAAGAACAGAGTCTGCAGAGAGGGATCAAGACAGGCCCATGAATGAGGGTTTAAAATGTTTGGTTAATTGTCACAAATTGACAGAACTTCCAGGAACCATTAAGCAGTTCATTTAAATGCATAAATACAGATGAACAGAACTGCAATTCAACGTTATTACATTTCAGAAGTTATTGTCATCAAAATCTTCTAATCGACAGTATTGACATATGATCTGTTACTGACATGATCTGAATTTGTTGTTGTTGGCTTTTGGAGGTGTAATAAAAGTATATGTGCATTGCGCAGTGTCATTTTAAAAACTGGAGGTGAAGACGGAATTTACTCTCTCAGCTGTCAAGCTTTTGCTACTATAGTCAAAATTACATTACAAAAAACATTGGAAGTGCAGCTTAAAATTGAAGAAACAGTTTAATGTTTCATTTAAATTGTTTTCAATAAAATGTAGACAAAATAGATTAAAATTTGACAAGGGGTGGACCTCATCGACCCCTTTCATAAAGATGGGAACCACCACCCCGGTCGGCCAATCCAGGGGTACTGCCCCTGATCTCTATGCAACATTGTAGAAGCGTGTCAACCAAGACAGCCCTACTAGGACTCCTTCTTCAGTTTGGTGGCTCCCCTCACCTCTCCAAA